CAGATCTTCAATGGCACCTTTGTTAAACTCAACAAGGTCTCAATTAACATGCTGAGAATTGAGGAACCATATATTGCATGGGGGTACCCAAACCTGAAGTCAGTAAATGAACTGATCTACAAACGTGGTTGTGGCAAAATTAATAAGAAGCAATTGCTTTGACAGATAACTCTTTGATTACTCAATCTCTTGGTAAATTCAGCATCATCTGCATGGAGGATCTGATTCATGAAATCTATCCTGTTGGAAAGTGCTTCAAAGAAGCAAATGACTTCCTTTGGCCCTTCAAATTATCTTCTCCATAAGGTGGAATGAAGAAAAAGACCACCCATTTTGTAGAAGGTGGAGATGCTGGCAACAGGGAAGACCAGATCAACAGACTTATTAGAAGGATGAACTGAGGTATCCACCATGATTATTTTTGTAATCTGGTCAATAAATAAATAGTGGCTGTTTTCAGACTGCACTATATTGTTACATTAGTAACTTTTTTGGTAACTTGTCTCTGCCTTGCCTTAACTATTGTGACACATCTTGGTGCTTGGTAAAATTAAGCCAAAACTTCTGTAAGACTAGTGTCCATTTTTTTATTTTGTGAAAATCGCTTAGGGACTGTTGAAAGGCTTTTTCCTACACCAGAGAGGCCTAATGTTTCCCCTTTTGAATTTTGTGGAGTAAAAATGGGTTTATTCAATGAAAACTTAATTTCAGGGTATTCATGCATGATTTGTAGGTAAGGTAATAAAATAAAGATCAGTTCACCAAAAACATAAAAAAAAAAATTTAAAAAGTAGCACAAATAGACTAAGTTACTTAAATTTAAAAAAAAAAAACTAAAACTAAAAACACACAGGTTGCAAATATGTTTCTCTTAGCTTCACACTGATTTATTTTAAAATCCAAATTTTAGAGGAAAACTATGAAAACAAACATCTACTATATATACCTAGAACAAAAGCCCTCCCCATTTATGCATACCTAGTTCTGAGCAGTACCGTTGATATTTGACTGATATGTGCATATTAATTCCCTTTAAGTAGATAAGCCAACAGGTACTAGAAATTTAGGGAAAATAAAGGAGAAGAAAACAGGATTGGGACCAGCAGTTGGTATAATGGCTATGTTGCTGGATGTCCATGTAATTGACCGTGGTTCAAGTCCTCGACCCAGTGGCTTAAACTCATGCCAAGGGTGGATGTGGGCATACCCAAGATCCCGAGAGGAGAATTGAGAAAAAGGGATTGCAGCATGGCCATCCCCTTGGGGTGGGTAATTTCTCGCTTCTTTCTGTCTCTCTGTCTCTCTCTGTCTTTCTGGCAAGCTCATGAGCCCCACAGCAAAAAACTCTAAAAGAAAACAGGATTTTCTCCATTTTAACTTTAACTTTAGCAGTAGGGAAAAGTCAACCATAATTCAGTTTC